GTTTGTTTGTTTAGGTTTTCTTTTGACCCAGCAAAACCTCTGTGAGGTGTACAGGTCAGAGTGTGAAAAGGATTCTCAAAGTCCTTGCTTTCAGTGATTTTTAACAGAGGTTGAAAAAATGTAACATTATTTCATGTGGATAGTTGTTTTTATTTGTACCCAAACTTTTTGAAAAAAATTTTGAAGACCAACAGAATATTTTTTAAGATGAGAAACTAAATGGTAGTGCCAGGTTTATATTTAATAATGAAAGGAAAATGTGTGTGTGTTTTTTAACTTCAGAAAAAAAATTGAGTTAGGTGACCCCCATTCTGAGAGCATTAATGGTTATCCATTATGCTGTTTTCTCTGTTTGCTTTGTCACTGTTAAGGTGAAAATAGGCTCTGGACTAAAAAATGTGTTTGAGATTTTAGTAGTGTTAAATAAATCCTGGCAAATTTTTCCCCCAAATTCACATTATTCTTATTTTATTATTGCTATTCTTTTTGTTACAGACAGAGCATGTGCCTTATGTTATTGGTATAATATGTCCATGAGTAATAAGAACAGGAAACTAAATTGCAAAATATTTTATTTTAAATAATAAGAATGACTTATTTCCATTATTCAAATTATCAGAGGCAAAATTTAGTTTTTACTTTTATGAATGTACTGTGTTATTTATACTGAATTGTACTGAAACCTTTACACTTTTGTCCCCAGGGTTTTCTTGATAGTACAAATTCACCTGCTTTAACATAGAGTTTATGGTAATTGGAAGCAATAATATTAACTCTAGTATATGTGGTCTAGTTGTTACCCTTTAAATAAAGGCTACCTAAAGTCTCTCTTGTTGATTAAGTCCAGATAGAATTCTTTTTTTTTCTGATATATGGAACACTGGAAATTTATCAACCCTTAGTATTCTTAACTGAAATGAGTTCCTTTAGATTTCTAATTATATTGTCTAATAAAACTAAACAGTCAGTGCTATTTGCATATTATATGAAGAAGTGTCATAAAACAAACTCATAGCAGTCAATTAGCATAAAAGCTAATTATATATCTCATCAACTTCTAAGAGTTTCTGAATTCACGTTTCCCCTGCTGTAGCCTAGAGCAACGGAGGTTTGAATTTTCACTCCTAAATATTGACTTTTAACTAACATCAGAAGTGATTTCAATATTCTTATGGACGAAAAGTTAATGATTAAACTAGATGCAATATTTGCTATAATGCAATTAAAAATTCTACATTAACAAAACCTCTAGAAAGAAAATCTTTGCAACAATGTCAAATTAATTATGTCACAAAACAGGTTAAGTATTGGTTTCATATCTGAAGCACACTCCAGAATAACTCTAACAATCAGTTAAAATGATTTGAGATTGTCAGCACTGTTACGGAGAAGACAGATATATTACAATGGCAGTTTCGATGTCCAATTGTACTGTAACATAATTGTATTCCTGACTGATTGTGATAGCTATCAAGCAAGAAATTTACGACAAGATTAACAGAGACACAGTAATGAACAAACATGGGAAGCATCCTGTAATTGACTTTTATTAAAGTGTCGTCATAGGGGTCTGGAATAAATTCCCCAGCTATAGCTTTGTTGAGAAACCAAAGGCAAAACTTTCAACTACTTTCAAAATGGAGGTATGGAGATCTCTCCGCCCCCTCCCCCGCCCCCATCCCATTCCATTGCTCACAAAACAAACACATGGTTAGAAGACAGCCCAAAGGAAGAAGAAAAAAAAAAGACACTACGCAGACTAAGAGTGATTTAGAGTTGTAGGTAAATTTCAAAATTGGGAAAAGTTAGGACTTACTCTGGGAGACTCCAAGATAGCAATGACGTTATAACGGATCATTTTTATAGTTATAACTTGTCCCCAAATGAGTACACGTATAAAAGCAATGGCAGATAAGAAAATGGTGTGCCTAGTGAATCGGATTTCTCCCGATACAATGATGGCGGCCCTTTGCATTCATATTTTAATGAGGTTAGTATCTCTGAAACAGTCCTCCCAGGGCGAGGCTCCGCTCCCGGAAGATTACAATAGGAGTTGCTTTATTGACAAGTGCTATTCAAAATCTTCACAGCATAGAAAGACTTCGTTTTATTCCACGTATCCCAATACTTATTGCACTCTTATTATCAAAACACTTCGAGGGGGAAAAGGTTCAATTATTCTATGAACAGTACTTAAGTTTACTGAAGATTGTTCAGCTAAGTGAAATCATCGTAAACTCTGGTCATGTAAGTTTTAATAAATGTATGGAGAACTGCGGTGCATAATCTGTTTTTAAACTTTTTTGTGTGTGCAAAATTCGATGCTTTGATTGGATTTTTAAGATCAAAATATTATTTTATGTTGTGTAAAATGAACTGTTAGTCCCATGAATTTTTTGTTTTGCTTTTTCCGTTCCTGTTTTTAGTGAACATTATAATGTAACCTCTTCTGAAGTATCTGCCAGCAAATACTGACTACTTTCAAAGAATGTTTACCAAAAAGGGGCAGCTAATTACATCAAAAGCCAGTTAGCCTTCACCGGCTTACAAAATAATCAAAATTCTCAGGTTGATCCCTTCCTATGACATAACTGTGTTGAAATGGGCACAATACTACTATATCTAGATGGTAAATTTACACTTCAAAATAAGAAAAGCAGTCCACTGTCAGGTGGAAAGTTTTCACGTGGGGACCTGTTTTTAAAAAGCACAGCTCAGTAAATAAATAAAATAGCTCTCAAAAGTAACTTGTGAGCCTCCTTTCACACGTTAATGTCATGATTTTCTTCAAAGCTTGCGTGCTCCCTAGTTTTTGCACACAGGCCAGTTTAAAAACATGGCTTTGGGAGTGGCCTCTACCCCACATGGAACACTTCTGTGTATTAGGAAGGAGTTCAGTATTCTAACACGAGGGTCTCAGAGGCTGAAAGCACTCTTCCAATGCTCAGCCTCTTGCCCCCTGTGATACCGTCCCACCCCCAAGTATGCAAATATGTTTACTTTTCTGATTGGGGAAAGACAGAGGAGGGGAGGAGGGAGAGAGAGAATTAATTTCTTAATTACAGTTAGATATTTTAAATAAAAGAGTCTACTCTTCACTTTAAAGTAAAAGGCTGCCTTGCTAGCATCCAGAAAGTACTATGGATATATTTTACATGTATCAGATAAGGAAATACACTTAAAGTACATCCGTCACAGAAAAAAATACAATCATTCTGTTGATCTGCCTTGATTAATTGTAATTTAAGAATTTGCCTCTGCATTTTGTAACTTTTTTCACTGATTAATACATACTTCATTCTTTGTTTCTATAAATTAATAAAACATTTTCAATTGTGTTTGTTAACCTATGTGTTGCTTTTTTTTTTTAAAAAACAACTTGCAGTGCTTGAATGGCATAATTAAGGCATAAATAGAATGAAATTTATGGTTGAAATGTGTGCTTTAAATGACTTTTTACTGTAGATATTTTTTGAAAATTAGAAGTCATGAGTTTTTTAAAACTTGCTATTTTAGTGAATTAACATTCTAGTTTCATAAACTATTTAACCGCAGAAAGAATGCATGGGCCCTGAAAGCATTTTAAAATCAAAGTGAAATCAAGTTTTTTGAGGGGGGGGGGAGGAATATTATTCCATGTGCACATGATTGGGCACAGTTGATAGTTAATTAGTGGTGTTTTTTATTTGCTCTTTTCCCATGTTTCTTTTCTAAAAAAATTTTTTTTAAGTTGATTCTTACTGAAACTGGGGGTTGGGGGTGGTTGCGGTGATTGTGGTGATTTATAAAGGAACCTAGATCTAGGAGGAAAAAAAAAAAAACATGCACCCCAACAAAACTGAGCTTTAATTTTAATTCTCCAGCTCTTATTTATCTGATTTGTGGCCAGATGGCGGCGAAGCAAGGAAACCCTTTGTGTAAATGAGGCCCACATGCGAACGCGCTTCTGTAATGTAATCGTTGGGACCGGAAGGGTTCATACTGCGTCTGAAAAGGGACAATAGAGACTGGATATATCAACATTGCAGAAATCGAGTTCATTTGTGATTCAGCCCCTTTCACTATGGTTGTTATGAAAACTTCCTACTTTGATCAGCAGAGGGTGGAGAGGAAAAAAAATCTTCTAAAGGCCGAAGGATGCCGCACTGTTGTGCGCGGTGCACTTGGCTCGGGTTCACGCCCCCTTCCGGAAGGAGCGCCGGGGACCGCAGCATCCTGCACCTTGACCTGTCTAGACTGCAGAGGGCTTTTTGTCTTGGTTACCAAGGGCGAGGGATGCTCTTTGACCCTTAGCGCTCGGGTGATGAGACCCTCACTCCGGGCGGAGGTGGTGTCTAAATGGTCCTGCTGAAGCTCGCAATTCTGAAGGGAGAGGGACGGACAAAGACGTGGGCCAGCTGTTCGAAAATAAAGCTGGAATGGGAGCTGGGAGAAGTGAACTTCCGTAAGCCACTCTTTTCCTCCTTTTCCCCACTGCCACAATTCCCCTGGGCATTACGCGGCTGCACCAGAGTTGACGCGGAGCTCCGAGGAGAAGCAACTGAGAGCAAAACTTTGCGCCCTCGCTAAGTTCTCTGGCATTCAGCTTCCCTTCAGGAGAGTTCAGAAACGTGCAGATTGATAATAACAGCCATTCACTGTGCTCAATGGTTTATTATGCATGTTGAATGGCTTTTAAAAATTATTGTAGGTATATGTATAATTTCCAGTTTGAATGTAAAGTTTTTTTTTCTGTCAGCTTTCAATATGTGCACTTTCTTTTACTATAACTTGAGCTAACTTCTTAAATTATGTTAATAATATAATAATTACATAAAAAGCTATCTTAGGAAATTAATACAGGTTTATTAATGGGGAATGTGTATGTTTCCATCTGTATTCATTTGAATATCTTTAAATAATGAAATTAAGAGAAGTTTCCTCTCATTTTTTTTAAATAGGTTCCCTTAGCTCAGTCCGAGGCATTCCTAACAGACCTTTTGGATAAAGTGTGTGAGCGAATGAATGACTACAAACTTGAAGAAAACCCTGTAACTAAGGAGAGAACTTTCAAGAGATTTGCTCCAAGGAAAGGCGACAAAATGTACAAAGAATTTAAAAAATTCTATTTTTACTCTGATGCTTACAGACCTTTGAAATTCGCGGTAAGCTCTCTTCTTGGCAGATGAATCCTATGATCCATGAAAATCTTTTTGCTACTTTTACGTTTGGTTTTAGTTGTTGAGTTTCAAGAAACTGAATATTAAGATGCACATTCAAATGTTTATGTATTTACTTTGTCGTCCTGTTGCTTTTAAAATGTTAATCATGCATTTAGCAGCTTGCCTTTTGAGCCCCTAAGGGCTGTGGTATTTCTTGATGGAGACATTTAGGAGATATTTTACAGAAGCGCTGCTCGCAAATTCCAGGGACTTTAAGACACAGTTTGCACCTTGCTTTGCTCAGACTGTTTTGTTCGTGTGGCCGTTTGGGGAATAGTTTCAGGCAGTTCAGTTGCCAAAGCAGGTCCCTCAGATTTCCACTTAAGGAATCAGGGACTGTGGTTGCCAGGTTAAAACCCAAATTAAAACTAATGTTGTTTTCAAGTATTTATAGCCAAATTATGGAAAGGAAGCGAGGTACATCATCTTTCCTTCAAAGGCTTCACAGAATAGAGAGAAATGTTTTCCTGAGTTAATTCAAGTCTTCTAGCACAAACTAAGTTAAACAAGGCTTAGGTATGATAGTTGGCTTAATGGAGGATTTCCTTTCCATATAACGTTTATGTTCCATGAATGCTGGTCTCTGTCTTGCTTGAATGTGCCTGGCAAAATACATTGCAATATATTTCACTTAATACTGTTGAATCAAAGTGAGGGGGGAAGTCTGTTTAAAAAATGTATCGTGTTCACACATTGGCCAAAATGTCAGGCGATCTGCAACCCTGGAAGCACTTTAGCTGACTCGTGAAGATTTCATTTTCATTAAAGAGCAAAGGTAACAATTCCAAGTTAAAAGCACTGTGGAATAGGAATGGCAATGAGTATGCGTATGCTTAGATTTCTTAGGTTTTCAATAAACACAATAGAGTGGAATTTAAATATTTTTAAATGTCATTTAAAATTTTTAGAGCCCTGCTTAATAAACTCAGAAAATGATTTACAAGTCTCTGGTGAACATCCTTGAGCAACTTCACAATTCCTAAAAGTGTAGACTGTAGTTCTTTCATGTACTGTAGTTAGCATATAAGCTTTTCAAATGCAGGGGCAAAGTCGGCCCCCTCTTCTCTGATACGCCAGCATGTTTTGTAAAGTGAAATTCTGGATAGGTCCCTACACAGTACGAAGAGAAACTTCCCTAAGTAACTGTCAAGCATGTTACCCACAGTGAAATTTAAGTGCCTTTGTTTTGATTGCTAAAAAGGCTTAATTGTTTTCACACTTCAGATTCTGTTTTAAAACCATAAAATATTATGTTAAATCTGAAGGAAACTGGTTTAATCATTTCAAGGAGTTGTCTTCTTTAAAATTTTTTTTTCTTTTTTAAATTCAGACTTTGGAGCTCCGTGAGTAGTTGACTCATTTCTTACTATCACTTCAGCATTCCAATGTAAGGAAAAGAGACAAATGCAGGGCCCTCTTCCTTCCTCATCCTCAGTCCATGTCTTTCAACATGGCTAATCATTTAGTTAAGTCCCAGGAAAATGATGGCAATTAACATTCTGGGAAGAGGGTTAATCCCATACAGTGATGTATTAAATTGAAAGGGCTAAGAAAAATGGACCACCTTGATCACACAATTTTATATTTTTAGCTAATAAAATTTTGATTCGGTCCTTCCTAACAAGGTACACGGTGAGTGTGTATATACCCACGTGTTGTTATTATATTTCTACAGTGTGAAACGATAATAGAAGAGTATGAAGATGGAATATTCTCACTTCTCGCCCAGGAGGCAGACCATCTAGCTGACAAGCTGTGCAGTGAAAAATCAGGTACTGTGTCTGATGTAACATGAGCTCCCTGCCTCGGTCTCCCCCTCTCGCTTTCACTCAGCAACTCAGCCCCCGCTTTTTGAAACAGGGCCTCACTGCCTTGCTGCAGCAGACCCCCTGAGAGGGTTCTCCTCAGAGTCAGAAGGGACACCAAGCGAGAGGAAACCAGCAAACCAGACCACAGGGCTGGCAGTCTGAGTCTTCTCCCGTCCTTTCCTCTACGTTTTCCTGAATTCAAAAGCACTTGAATTCTAAATGTTAAAGAGCACATGCATCAGAATTAGTGAGTCCAGAGCAAGTTTTTGTTTTATTTTGTTCTTAACTTCTGGAGATTGATTTTCCATCCTGAATCAAGAAAGAAAAATCTCTTGGTGACTTAACTTTGCTACACCTACAAAAGGTGGGGTCTTTATTTAGCAAGAAATTCTCAAAGTTGTGTGTGTGTTTGGGGGTGGGGTGCTTGATTCCCCTCACCCCAGGTTTTTTCTCCAGAATATTTACTTCTTAAATAAAATAAAATAATTTTTTTTTGGTGGAGACAGTAGAAAGTAATACTTGACTCATGTTCTTAAACAAACACCCTCAGAAGCTAGAAAAAATGATCAGAACTTTATCTACTGTATACAAAGTTGAAACACTACCACTGGCTCTCCAGTCTGGTTGGCTGAACATACACCTCTGGTCAAATATCATTTTGATCCATGCTTAATGCATTTACAAGGAGGTAGTACAAGTTGTGTTTTCTTTTCAGATACCTTTTGGAAAAAAAAAAGAATGAGTATTTATGAAGACAATGATTTTTAATGCCAGCAGAGTACTTTTCCGCAACATGGGGACTTGAAACATTTAGCGCTTAGGAGTTGTTTATAATAAAGTACAGTATACCTGGGTACACTACAATACACTTTGGTACCTAAAATTTAGTACTAAAATCCTTAAAATAAAAGTTACTAATATTTTTAGATAAATATTTATGTCATCAAAAGTTATTCAATGAGAAGGTTATAAATCTCTATTAACAAGACAAAGTCTTCTCACTCTGAGTAGATAATTGGGTTGTTTTCTTTTTAAAATCTAGTTTGTATTGGGAGTTTGCAGCAGGGTGCAGTAAAATTATATAGTCAGGATTGTTTAGGAGTTTGAGAATTTTTTTTCATTGATTTTGGATATGTTGTGTAATTTGTGAAATTCACATAAGTTCAGAGCTGCAACTTCCTAAAGAAGGTATTTTTGAAGTTTTTCAAATAATTCAGAGATACATGTGTGCATTAAAATATAAGCAAAATCGTAATGAACAATATTTGGAATGTTGGTTTTTCTATTTTTTTTTCACATAAAGGGTTTGCAGTTATCATAACTGTATGTGACATATGTAAACAATTAGCTATCTCAAGACTTATTCAAATGTTGCAGAAGGACTTGAGAAAGTTTCGCCACCTGTTCCCCACGCTGTCGCCACCAAATAAGAAGATTCTGGGCAAAGAGTCTGCTCCCAGGTTCACCAATTTGATTTGATTTCAGTAATATTGACTATCACTTTTTCATTTCCTTTGTATATTTATAATTGGAAATAAAAATTAAGCATTAACCTTGAGAAAACGAAAGCTTAAGGAATAAAGATGTGCAATATTACTGAAATAAAATAAAACATGATTAGATAATTCTAATAGCATTTTATTAAAATAACTGATTTAAGTATTTACCAGTATAAACATAAATATGAGTGCCTCAGAGCTGCTGAGAGGAAAAGGTAACCTCTCCAAAGAGTAAACTCCTGCATGGCTGCTACAGAGTAAAGTTTGTTTAATTTTTTTTTCAAGTTATGTTTCTCTATGAAACATTTTTATGGGTATCCTAAAATAGTCATAAATTAAGAACTGAGAATAACTTAAATCTAAAAAGAGACTAGACACCCCCTCCCAAAAAACCAAAAAGCAAAAAACAAACCCCCTCCAACAAACTCTACTATCGAAATAAGTTAGCACCACAGTAGCTAACTTAAACATTAATGCCAGAAAAAGCTAAAACGTTTAGTAAGAAAAATGCTAATTAATGACTGCAGCAACACAAAGTAGTATGTTTCAACATAGATAATTTCAGACAACTGTGTAAAACATGAGACTCTTGTATTATAGAAAAACTCCAGATGCTTTCAAATATAATCTAAAATACAAGTACAGTAAGTTTTCTACAATACCATGACACTCATACTCATTTTGTACAAGCAATACTTGATCTTGTTCTGTTATGCAACAGCTTTGCTAAGACAGGATCTCTGTGATTTAAGCGATGTTTTAAAGATAATGATTGTGTGTGTGTGTGTGTGTGTGTATTGGAGGTTATGAAACTGTACATCCACCAAAAACTTTACTGAGTGTATACTATGTGCAAGACACTAAACTGAGAGCTGTTAAAATGTCTACGTGTCACTGTTAGAAAGATAAATAATTACTTAAAAATAGATGTTTCTATAGCTAGAGATTTGATTGGAAGCTTAGTCACCCTCTATCAGTGTATATATATGAATTTTGTTTTTTCTGCTTCATGTAGATCATTTCATTTTATTTTTAATAATTCCATGTGAACAGATAAGGGTTCATTCACAGATTCCTTAAAATATTAAGGTTCTTAAATTCACTTCCCTTAAAAAAAAATGGAGAATTAAAGAGAAGATATATCTTATGTCAAATTTAATCTGACCATGTTTGATTAACATCAGTGAGATTTTCATAAATGTTATGTACCATCTTTTGGATGAGTGAAAAAAATCTCCATGAAAAATCTCAATGCAGATGGATCTGTGGATGCCAGTACACTTTTATCCGCTGGATAGAAGAAAAGTTATCAATAAACCTGTTCTATGAGTGTGAGACAGAGCAATTATGGTGTTTATTCCTCACATATTTCTGGTTTTTTTCCTAAGAAAAAATAAAAGTGAGTTTATGAAATTTTCCTGGTGGAATATTTTGTGGCATATAACCTAGGGTTCTCCAGATTGTTATTTAGATGTCTGGAGGTCAAAATGATCTTTTCAAATGTTAAAAATCTTGAGAAAAAAAAAGAATGAGTATACACAAAGACAATAATATGGTTTAGGGACATGATTAAAAGTACAGGGATATTCCACTTAAAGGTAGGGAGCTTGTCACTACAGATTATAAATGAATGGATATGCTTAACGTTCCTGGAGATATTTGTTACAGAGCATGTGAAGGTGTAGATATAAATGTATAATACATTCTATATACATATCACTCTGCTTTGATATCAAATCTCATCTAAAACCATCATGATGGATAAATTTGTCACATAAAGATTTTGAATGCAATATATGGAGTAAGGCATCAAGTATCTGGGAATGTTTAGCCTACATGTAAAGTAAAAGCATTTTTACCTTTCTGTGTAGACTTCCCAATACTAATAGAGGTGTTAATTTCTAATATGCAGAATCATTACTTTCAAAGGCTAGCATATTTCCTATTTCAAATAAATTATGTAGCTAAAACAATCCATAGCCTTTCTCAATAGAGTTACATTAATTGCTTCCAGTTGGAACAGTAGTATATATCAAAGTAACTAGTTGCCTCCCTGCCCCCTTGGGTTAAATGCCCAGTGTACTGTACCTGTTAGCAAGCTGGGAAACAGCTCAGAGTGGATCTTTTCTAAATGCTTCCATGTCTGCAGGTAGATGATCCATTGCCTTGGATTTGTTTTAAAATACTCCAGCCAAAGAAGAGTAAAAGATAAAACAAGAACAACAGAATGTTGATCATTGTTGGACTGGAGTGCAGGGTGCATGGGTGTAGATGATACCTTTCTTTCTCCTTTTGTGTCTGTTTGAAATTTTCTATAATTGAAAGTTTAAAAAATGCACTTCTACATGAATGTACTTTATGGGTAATGTAAATGCCTTAATGGGCTGGTGTTTAATGTGACGGTGATGCTGTCTAACTTTTTTCCCCAGATCTGTGTGAACCTTCTTCCACTAATCACATTGAACTCTAGGAGAGACTGTGCCGCTAGTTATAGAGAGGAGTAAAGTCGTCTCCCCACAAGGCCAACGTCTGTGTGCTCTGGTCTCATGCTAAGAAATTGTATGTTTCTTGTTTATACTATGTTTGTCTATGTTTTTTACTGAAAAACTGTTGTTTGGCATCATGACAAACTCTTACTCTTTCTGTGGGTAAAGTTGAGGAGTCCAGAAAACTTTTAAATTAGCTTTGCAGTTTTTGGTGTAAACAGACTTGGCAATAAAGCATTTAATTCAGTAGTAGGAAAAAAAAAGGTGAAGACAGTTTATAATAGGGATTTAATAATGTATCCTATATATTCTATAGCAAATGTATATACACATATACATGTGTAAAGTGTTCCGCTTGATAAGAACTCAGTTTGATTCCTTAAATACTTGAGTGGTCATGGAATTAAGGAGATATTGCAACAAATTCTGAATTAGGTCTTCAGGCTTATATATGGTTATTGGTGAAAGAAACAAACCACTTTTTGTCAGGAATAAATTTAAATTCCTAGAAGTCATATATTTAAAAACTTTTAAATCTTTAAAATTTAGTTGAATGCACAAAAGATAACAGATACTTTTTATAGTAAACAATAATTATATTGGCCTTCATTAAAAATACATTCTGGAGTCAAATGATTTTGAAGGTTGATTTTTTTATTACATCATGTGTTCTTAAAAGATGACATCAATGGCGATGTTCTGTTTTACTGAAAACTCTCCTATTTTTTAAAAACGATTTTTCCGTTGATGTTTAGTGTGTGGATTTGGTTCCGCTCATTCTACCTGAGTGTGTTTTGGAGGTGTGGGGTGGAGGAGGAGATGGGGCCTGATGGGAACTGCCTTTGACCACACTTAGTACTGGAGCACAGGGACACTGTCACTCTTGGATGTTTCATTACTTCTGTTGTTTTTGCATTCAGTGGAATCTGACCTGAATTATTTAAAATGCCAGGGCATATTCTATACTTGTTTAAAAAGGGAAACTCGTTGTTGTCAGTGAGAATTTAGTGGCAATATGATGCACGGTCTACCTCCAAAGAGCGAAGATAAAACTTTTTGCCATATGTTACATAATTGCTTAGAAACACACTATTTAAACCATTTTTAAATTTAGGAAAATTTACTAAAATTAAGAGGAAGACATTTCCATTTTCTTCTCCTTACTCCAACTATTATTAAGAGTCAGATTTTAAGTTAATGTCATTTATTTATTTGGGAAAACATTGTATGTGCTTTTTGGGGGGTCTGTAGCTGGTGAAGTAGTATGGATACTACGTAGTGTGACTCAGTGAATCTGCACTATAGCTGATATAAAATGGAAATAGGATTAAAGAGTAATTAACACCATTTTCAAGGGGCCCTAGTGGTGCAGTGGTTAAAGAGCTCGACTGCTAACGAGAGGTCGTCGGTTCAAAACCCACCAGCCGCTCCACAGGAGAAAGGTGTGGCAGTCTGCTTCCAGAAAAATTACAGCCTTGGAAACCCTATGGGGCAGTTTTACTCTGTCCTACAGGGTCGCTAGGAGTCGGAATCGACTCGACAGCAATGGATTTGGTTCAGTTTTTGGTAGCACCATTTTCTAGTAGGATAGTAAAATTGTTATTTAAAATATTGTCCCTATATCTTTTTAGAAACTTGTCTAGCATAGCATTTAAAATAGTAAGTCACAAACATTTTCCTAAATTAGGCTTTCTTAGTAAATGCACTAAATGGAAATATTATTTCTTAAAACATAAGTAACATTCATGAGAACAGGGTGGAGACCGTGGAGTAGTAAGTCAGCTTCCATGGAAAATGTAGCATTTGTAAGTTGTGAAAGTGTTACTGAAGTTGTTTTCTCACTCTACTGGATAACTGTTAAAAATTCTCAGATAGAAGCAGTACTAATGCTAATCACAGAATTTAAGAAAATGTAGACTTCTGTCTGTAACCTAAATGAACATGGAGAGTTATGCCTTCTTTGCATGGATGGATGGATGTTTTTCATTGATGTTCATGATTTTGCTTTGAAAGAGGAGGACCAGGGATCTTGACTCTTATACCTGATATGTTAGGTTTTGCTAAATATACCTTTTCAGTTTATTCTTGGATGTCCCAGTAAAGATGGTTTTGTATCTTACAAAATTTTTGATGTCTCATGACTTGTATATTTTTTCTCTTCAGAAAAATTTTCCAGACCAAACTTGTTAAACTCATGTAAATAAGTGTAGCTACTAAATTAGTGATTAAAATTACCGTTAAGTGACAATACACAAAGCACTATGTTTCTTGTGGCTACAGTGATTCTTAAGTTTCCCTGTGGGTCATCGTGAGCTGCTCTGCTTTTGCTCGTGAACAACGATGGGACAAGTTGCCACTCTCTTTAGCATCCCTCCTAACCACTTTTCTGCCTTTTTAATGATATTTATTGACCAAAACCAAAAGAAAGCAAAAAAAAAGAAAAAAACCCTCATAAAACAAAAAACACTTGGGATGTGAAAGAAAAGTTAAGAAGAGTAAAGTGAAAGGTGACTTAATTCTAAGTGAACTGGAGAAACATTGGAGGGGCAGGGGCCAGAATGTAGTGCTTATTAAAATAATGCAGAGAAACCATGTTTGGAGCCGGATGGGTTCAAATTATACTTTTATGAGATGGTTTATTTGGGTCTCTATGGAAGACCTGTGTGAACTGGTTCTCATAAAGAAAAGACCAAATTGGCTGAGATGAGCAGTTTATTTTTGTTACGTGAATTAGTATTTGCTAAGAATAAGCCAAGACCGATGAATCCATTTCACTGAGGAGTGGAGAATGGAATTGAGACAAAGTCCCAAATGGGAAAGATCAATACTTTATTTACTAAGACAGGCCCTAACAAAAAAAAAAAAGTCAATAGCTGGTCATAATTTTTATACCTATTTCTCTGCCTAGGTTGATATTTATTCATATTATGTAATAGCTTTATCTAAATAAAACGTTTTAAACTATATGTCACCTTACAATTCAAATTATAATGAAATATGAGAAAAAGACATTCTTTCATGTGGTTTTAAGTTTGATATAAACTTGTGAGCTAATCTTAAATGCATTGAAACAAATTCTATAGCATATTATAGTTTCATAACAAAATGCAATTAACAATGATATTCAATGATAACAATAAAAACATACCTGTTAGATATAGAGCATGTTTACTGTGAGTCTTTATCATTTAATTCTTCTTTAGAAGTATCTTAAATTCCTCAGATTATTTGCTTTTAGATCAATAAATTAAATAGATAAAATATCAAATGCAAAAAAAATGAAAATGGAATGTAGAAGTTGTGAAAACTCATTGTCTTTAAACCACACAGTGATTGATACTGCTCTCTAGAAATGTTACTTCTTGTCTCTCCCCCTAAAAGTGCATTTACTGCGAAGGAAGGGTCCACTCTTACAATCAATTCTTCAGGATCTGCCCTGAGTGAAGGAGATAGTGATTCTATTTAATGTAATATTAGTTCATTTGCCTGTAGCGGCAATTACCAGAAAAATGAAGCTCTGCTTCAGAAAGACAGTTTGTGGAAGTGGGGTCTGAAAAGTCCGATACGGCTCTCCAGCCTTTCTGGGTTCTCTGGGGAAGCCGGAAGATGGATGGATGGGTAAATGATAGATAGATAGATACGTACATACATATACATAGATGTAAATAAAATCGGGACATAGAGAAGTCAGCTAAAGCTTTGATTGCTCACGGGTGGAGAGTTCAAGAGAGAGTACCTGGAAGTAAGTCTTTATAGAAAACAAAAATTCCTATACTCTCAAGATTTTCAAGAAATGAAAAAATACTCTAAATTACAACACACATAGAAAATATTTACCCCACAATAGCAAGATATTCACAAAACATATTTAATCGGTTAAAAAGTTACTGGAAAACAAAAATATTATGAGGTTACATTGTAAATATATTAGAATCTTATTATACTATGGCTCATTATTCTGGAACACAGATTTCAAGAAACCACGGGTCAAATTGTATCCCCTAAAACATAACAGCACCAAATAAAAGCCCAGTGGAACAAGGCTAGGCATCAGGTAGACAGAATCTTGTCCCCCAAACCCAAATTCCTGAATTGCAACCTTGGATGATCTATAATGCTACTCAGAGGTGTACTTAACCTTTCCTTAGAGCTGATGAAGATTCTGGAAACTTCCTTCTCCTTTCGAGAATGTTAATAAACCACTATCTAAGGAATGCAAGTTATATAATGCAACACTGGATGCCCAACGTCAGTGAATTAAACATGGCTAAGACTCAGAAAGATCCAGTAAGTGATAAGTTAAAATATTAATGCGCATTTTGAACTTTATGAATAGCTAGGTTGGCACCTGAAGAGTTGGAATGCACTCCTGACATTTTATATTAAGGGTTGGCCTCACAGCCGCTTTCTGAATGACTGGGACTTTTCCTGCAGCATATTCTCTGCTCTCAGCCTACAAAGGATGGTGATAATCCTTGAGATGACACCATTGTCAACAGAGGGAGAGAAGATTTCAGTCAGGTGGTTTTCATTGTGTGATAGAAATAAATCTTTATGGCTTTGTTGTTCTTCATCAAAGGGCACTGATTAAGCACCTTCATGCCCTGTGATTTGTAGAAGAAAGCAGAGAACCAAAAAATAAACTATTTGGTCCCCATTAAAATAGTCCCTATTTCAAGCAACATGGTATTAAAATAGAGTGAAATCTAATACAAATGCAGGTTCAATAAATGTTATTAAATTATTAGACCTTTAGGTGAAAATGTACCCTTGAATTGCCTTCATATGCAGTCAAATCCATGATTAAATATTAATGCCCTAAGATTAAAGGGTCACTTGAGTGTGTGTGTGTGTGTGTGTGTGTGTGTGTGTTTTGAAAGCAATACCCCCAAATGTTGAACAGGAGATGTTGCGGGTTAGCTATACTTTGTATGCTTTGTGGATGCTAAAACCTTAACCAGTTTTGAGAGTGAAAGCCCCATTG